GGTTCTATCCTGACAAAAGTCAGGCTTTTTGATGGTTTGAAACTGAACCCAGCTGTTCATGATCATTGGGCTTTGAATAAATGATCCTGACTGATGAAACAGCTTATCATAGTCAGTAACAAAGCTAAACAGATGATATCACACCGTTATACTCGTACACTGATCCTTCACTCATATTTGGTTTAAAATGCACCTAGGTGGTGATCCCATCTCAACAATTCAATAGTTTAATGATCCTTTTACAGAATGAGCAAGTTACTGTAGAAATTATATTTTTCTCCTATATTACACTGCTATATTATTATTTTTACTATGACACTGTGATAGTTTAGAGCAAAAATACTATGGTTACAATTATTTGTGATTTTAGTTTCGTTCGGTCAGATCTTACAATTTGCATTAGCCTCCTTTTACCTATATATGTAAAATATGTATGTCAATTATCGAGTTACATAAAGTATTGTACTGGCATAAGAGTATAGCGAAAGCCATTGATTATAACCATTCACTCTCTGACATATACGACAAGTTGATTATCCTACAATGCAGATAAATTTCACGAAAATGTTAATTCTTTCATTGTTTACAATTGCAGTACATCTATCAATGTATAAACTGAATACCTTTCTCTCAGCAACCGAGTCACTCAGGGACAACAGTGGTGAAGTTGAAACGTCATGGAAGAATAACTTGAAATGTTTCCCTTGTAGGGATTAGAACATAAGTTGAAGGAATCTAATTTCTAAAGAAGATTTCTAAAGCACAAGGAGCTAGAAGTTAAAACACAATGAATTGAAAGAACCAAATTTAAAAGTACATTGATAAACTTCACTTCACTTTAAGAAGCAGAAGTCATATAATAGAGTGGGGACGTGTACGGTTAGGCCTAATAGATATTGTAGTTTCTATGGCCAAGAAGGTAAGGTAAAGTGTATCTGTAATATGTTTAGATCACACCGAAGACTACTTGGTTTAGGACTATCACACAAATTAGACATCATTTATCTGTACCAGTTACGGTAGAATCCGCAAGTTTCGCTAAATTGTAATTTGCAATACAACCAGTACAAAATCCTTTCAGATCTCACTTGTGCAATTTATGTTCGCATCCTTGACACCGACCGTCCATGTAAGGTCTGTAGAGAGATGTGAGATGTGAGATGTTTAGTGTTGAGATGTATCTACACTTCTACAGTGCTGAGATTCGTCACGGTGATCTGTGTTGTACGCCTTAGGCTGGTGACGTCATGGCGATGAATCCTGTTACGTCTCTGCCATTGTATTTCCTTAAGAGGTTGAGGTGTTTGAGTACTTCGTGGCTGTCTTGATGCATTTCCACTGATTTGTCTATAGAGATTCTAAAAAATCTAAAGTTTAATGCAGCCGTGCATTAATTGCGCAAAAGAGTTCATTAAGTGCGCTAAGCCTTCAAAGGCTCCCAAAATTGTTTCTTAGTTGCGCCAAGCCCAAGCCAGGTAAGGGTGAGTCGCCGGCAGAAGGACTAACCTTGTTTACGTGTCATCCTAACATATCCTAGCCTAACCTAGCCTAACTTAACCTAACATAACTTCCTAACCTAACCTACTCAATTATACAGTCAAAGAGGGCTGTTACTTGCGGCCCAGTTGAGCTCATCGGGAGGCTCCCTGGAGTAGTTGGCGCAATCCAGGAATACCCGACTACCTGACTCAGTCAGTTGGCGCAATTAATGCCCCCATATTATGAATGTTGAGGGATTTTCTTGCATCACTGTGGGAGTAAAAACTAACTACAGAGTTAGTAGGGGAGTCGGGGTTTTCTACAAGATTTTCCTTACATCAGATCCTTACCACAATCTACTTCCAAGGACGGGCGTGGCTTTTTATAAATGACTCATTGTTAATTAGTTATTGTTCTTTTGATACTGTTAAACCGCAGTAAACAAATAATCAAGTCCGTTGACAATGGATTGAATCTGCATACAATTTGGCTTTGTAACAGTAAACGCGCCGGCCTCGTCACTGGCTGTTATGTTCGCAAATATTTTCTATACTGTATATTTTGTAATTTTTACATGTTACGCTTCAATTTATCGCATGATTGTTCAGTTCCTAGGTTCAGCTTTGATTATTCGAATAGTCAATGGAAGTAATAGTAGTTTTTTCTAGTTTTATTCGTAGGCTAGAAAAAATGTTGATCACTGTTAATGCTCAACATGACATGACAACAACATGACAACAAGATGATTTACTTTACTAAAATTGCTTACTTACTTACTTACTGCCCTGGCCATTTGTACCCCAGTCGGTACTTGGCCTCAGCAACACAGCGCCTCCATCCGTCTCTTTCTTCAGCATCCTCCTCTCCAATTCCCAGCCGCCTCATGTCTTGTTGCACCTGGTTCCACCATTTAGTCTTTGGTCGTCCCCTGGGTCTTCGTCCCTCTAGTGTTCCTCTCAGAATGTTCTTCAGGTTTGACTCTTCTTCTCTTCTTAGTATGTGTCCTGCCCATTGTAGTCTCCTACTTCTTATTTCTCCGATGATGTTTGCATTTTTGTACATTTCTCTTACTTCCTGGTTGTGCCTCTTCCTCCACTCTCCATTTTCTAGCGTTGGGCCAAAAATTTTCCTCAATACTTTATTTTCAAAAACTATTATTTTTCTTTCTTCTTTTTTGTTCAGGATCCAAGTCTCTGAGCCATATAAAATTACTGGTCGGATTATTGTTTTATACAGACGTAATTTTGTTGTGTGGGATAATAATTTTGAGCTCATTAATTGTACTAAAATTGCTATAACAATTAATTTTGTCATTTGCGAAATTGTTTTTTCCCATTCATTTGATTCTTTTATCCAACTAAAATAACCATCCGAGCTTACCATGCAATTAGTTATCATACTAAAATATGGCGATGAATGACGAATTAATCTAATCTTATCTTATGTAGAGTATCCTATAAATTAGTAGGCAAGTATGTTTCTTGAAAACCTTTTTCCTCAGCTAGTGCATCGCATGCAAAATCTACGCATACTGTTAGAAAGATATTTTCCTGTAGATGTACAGAATCCCTTATAGATAAAAATAGACGGAAAACCCCAACAAATTAATTATAAATTTAAAAATATAAGATTGGCTTTATGGGTTAGGCAACCCGAAAAGGCCAATTTTGATTTTTGGTGACGAAATAGTTGATGACGAAATAACAACGAAATATAAACAGAAAATCGAAACAAATGGAAGAAATTTCTAATCATGTTTTATATACAGCGTGGGGTGAAAATTGAGAAGTCTGTGCATTAGATATTTTTGGTCGAGTTTTCGACCACTGGCGACCTCTACACCTCCACTACTCTACCATATCGTATCAATGTCAAGAGATGGCCAGTGGCGACTGAAGGCCGACAGTAGGTGGCATCTCCGGCGGACATTTGGAGGTAAAGACCAGATCCAACTGCAAATTGAACATCGGCAGCTGCCCGCGCCCGCGGGGTCACCAAATGTAGATGTCTGATAGCAGCCACTGTCCGGTACCGCTCAAATTTGGGAGGTACATGCCCTAGGGTCAAGACTTGTGGGGGCAATACTAGACCATTATGGTGCATCAAACTGTTCTGTCGGTCTGAGTGGTGTACCTGGTAAAAGTGAGGATGTTTTGGACATCGTGTAAAGTATGAATTGCATTGACTTACCCTTAAAGTACCCTTTTGGACTTAAAACGACCCACTTACAACAGTCAGTTCTATAGCCTCTGGGGAGGAGAGTACATTTTTTATAAAATGGGATTTGTTACCTCCATGTAAGTAGTCTAAATTCTTCCTGCTGATACAAGCCTTCGTCAGGCTTTCAGAATTTTACACTGGTAATGAAACCTGTCCACCTGATTGAAATGAAACCTGAATGAAACCTGTATTTGTTAATGCACATTTGGCGTGAATGGGTGAATTAGCTACTTTCGCCTGGTATTTCTATTCAGCTTAAAACACGTAACTCAAAGTCCGTCGCTGACTAATAGAATGGTCAATGTGTATGCGTGCGTGACAGTAGAAAAAGTAGTTGCAATGCAGCCATTATTAAACAAACATCAAAACAGGCTTCAGATATTGACTTCAATGACTCCAATATGTCCAAGTAGACTTGTCTTTCCATTACAAAATATATCTGTAACAGTAAAGTATCTTCAGCTAAGTACATAAGGATGATTGATGTTAGGTATATACTCCAGTTTTTACAATAGGATTGAAATTAGAAGTTTGGTTCAACTTAACTACTATATGTAAATGTGTATATAGTTTACTCCATTTTCCATGCACAACATACCACACACACAACACACAAGTAATGCACCACTCTTTCACAAGCATTCCATTTTTGACGGTTTATACGGTCAAAACACGCGTATCAACAATAATGTCTAGTTGTTGCATCTCAATATCACAGCTATGAAGTGATATATTGTTCAGCATTTGTGAACGTATGATCAAGCGCTATCGCCGGTGGCTGTTGGACAATAAGTATAATAAACTAGGCTGCAGACAGGTCCAGAGAATGCTGCAAAGCCTCGACCTTGGGGGACATCATGCTCAGGGACGGTATGTCTCCAAAATATGCTTTTTGTTAAATCCTTTATAACTACAGTGGGATCGTTGACTAAAATAATATACCATCCACGGTTATTAGAACAGAAGCGGCATGGACTATAAACACATACAAATAATGACGTCACTGTCCCAAATATTACACTTAATAACGGTAACATCTGGTTTGGACCTTTATCACAGTTCCGTTTGAATGATAACACAAACATGTTTACTTTTGGGCCAGTGACGTCATTTGCTCATATTTATGTTCCATGCCGTTTCTGTTCTTATATCCTTGGTATAACAAGTGTTTTTAATTGGTTTGTTCTTATAGACTATTCTATCCTTCCCACATGTTTTACTTGGATTGGTGGAACCATATGATACTATTTGTTTATTTGTCTAAAAAACACCACAAAAAAAAATAAACATTGTCACTTACTAAAAGCCTTGGAATGGATGACAAAGTGAACATTGACAACATCATAGAACGTCTGTTGGACGACAGAACGAAACCCGGCAAGATTCATCTGACAGAAAATGAAATCCGCCATCTTATCAGCAAATCACGTGAAATAATTCTCTCACAACCGATGCTGCTGGAGTTGGCCGCACCGTTGAAGATCTGCGGCGACACCCACGGTCAGTTCCACGACCTTCTGCGGCTCTTCAAAACAGGAGGATTCCCCCCCAGCGTCACCTACTTGTTCCTCGGCGACTATGTGGATAGAGGGAAGCAATCCATCGAGACGATAAGTCTACTGATGTGCTACAAGATCAAGAACCCCATGACCTTCTTCCTCCTCAGGGGAAACCACGAGAGCGCCAGCATCAACAGAATCTACGGGTTCTACGACGAGTGCAAAAGAAGATACAGCATCAAGTTGTGGAAGTTCTTCTGCGAGTTGTTCAATTGTCTCCCAGCTGCTGCTGTGGTCGATGATAAGATATTCTGTTGTCACGGAGGTATAAGTCCGGATTTGAATAGTCTTGATCAGATACGACATATTAGCAGACCAACAGACGTTCCTGATCAGGGTCTACTTTGCGACCTCCTATGGTCCGACCCGTCTGAGGACGTCGTAGGTTGGGGGGAGAACGATAGAGGAGTGTCTTTCACATTCGGGAGAGACGCCGTCTCCAGGTTTTTGATCAAGTTTGACTTAGATTTGATAGTGCGTGCTCACCAGGTAGTGGAGGATGGATACGAGTTCTTCGGCAATAGACAACTTGTGACGGTATTTTCTGCACCCAACTACTGCGGAGAGTTTGACAACGCAGGAGCGATGATGGCTGTTGACGCCAATCTATTGTGTTCTTTTCAGGTGTTGAAACCGAATGAACCTAGACAATCTACGGGGTTTTTGAAGTTTCCCAAAGGGTTTATGGGACCTCATCGATATTCTATGGCTTCTGAGACTAAAGCTAAAAAGTAAATTTTCTTATAGCACGTTGTTTTTGTACAATTAAGAAATAAAGTATTTAAGCTATGGTATTACATTGTCGAAGCATGATGACGAATGAAAGATGACGTGAAACACTTTTCCACATTAAATTGAAACATTTAGAGTTTTGCGGACGAAACTTTTGGTTGCTAGACACATAAAAAAACTACTTATCGTATTTATTTCAAAATTTTCTATCGATCTCTCTAACATGTTCTCATTCGAACTAAACAGTTGGACCAAAATTGTTTAAAACATTTTTTTGAAGCTTACACTATAAAATAAATGACCGGTATAGTAATTTGATGAAATCGTATCATATGTATTTGCAGAGGAGTCGATGTGCTTTTTGGTAAATTTATCGATAAAACAGTCTGCTAGAGTGCAAAGTGGTAATTTAGTCATACACATGGAATACATAAAGTGAAATAACACTTGAAAGTGTCAACTTTATATAATATTACGTTGGTAGAGTCACCGCCATTGCACTCTGCCAGTTTACTTGTATTTTATTACCCTTTGTAGTCAGCAGACGATATGTTAGCAAAATGTCACTTTTTAGCATCAGTAACGCCATAAAAATAAACTACAATATTACGTTGGAAGCAGTTACTCATCAATGAATAATTATGACAATTTTTATATTGAATGGATCGCAAAGTTTAGATTTCATCCTACTGAAGTCACTTGTGTTTCTACACATTTTAATAATATCGAAGCGCATGTTCCTTTCAGATGAGTCAGTACATACAACTTTCACCAAAGGTTTTGATTCATGCCCCATTAATTCGAAAAAATATCCAAATTGTTAAGCCAACTGAGAAAGAATACTTGTACACTTTTTAATAAAAAAACTAACTTTACAATGTCATGTTTAAACTCGCCTAATTTCTTCACTAAATTAACAATTTTGAAACGCGTCTTGGCTTTTGAAAAAATCAAAATTATTCTTTTAACTAGAAAATCATACAAAATGTTCTCTTCGCATCAACCGTTTCAAAATTACATCAGCTAAATATCACCTTAAAACTTTTGTAATTTCTCAACATAATTACACCCAGCAGTAATTACTCGACCCACGTGCTGGTGAAGTAGCAGGCGTCTATTGGTCCTCAATTAAACAGTCAGTACCCCTGTTGCAGCAAGCCTGTTGGAGGTCAAGGGGGTGATTGGACCCAGTTGGATATCGATACTTTACAAGACAATGCGAGAAAGACTGCGTTGGTCGTCTCAAGTGTACAATTGTACTTTAATACTCTACTATTAACGGAGCAATTAATATCCCATTGTCGGGGATTTGCTATGTTTGATACGTTTAAAAGAGTGTAGGATTACGTTGGTGTCTTGATAAAATGTTGACATAGCCCTGACGAAACACTTGACACCGTGGTTCGGATTCCACTATAAACTGTAGGTCCCTTAGTTGCCATTAGGTGTTTGGGCTATTAATTAACGGCTGTGTCAAAGGAATATGTCGACTTTAGTCACTAAAAAGACTACAATATCGCGCCACTCATCCTACACTCATCCTTCACTTATATTTGGGTTAAAATACGCACATAGTGGCGTCCCCCTCTTAAATAACTGATAATTGATTGATAATTGGATTGAATTGTATTCCAACAGATGGATTCAATTACTAAAATCACTTTGAATACAATACATTTGCGATATCTTTTGTAAAATAAACATAAAGAAGATCCCCCATTGACGAAAATGAATGTACAATGCGAAGACATGGAAGTGCAGCTTCTATGGCAACTGGAAAGTCGAATAGGAAGACTAATCAAAGGACAATTATGAACTAAGTGGCTAATAGTCTTAGAGTTCCAGCAAACATACAACAATAGTTTGATTGTAAAAACGAGTTTAATTGTTATGACGGATTATTAAATAAAAGTTAAGACACAAAAAAGAAAATGGCTCCCTCACAACGATATATCCAAAGTTCTGAGCGATTTAACTCATACAAAGAAGATTAAGGAATCCAGCATATAAGCTGTCGAGTGGTGGCCATTGACTAGATGCTTCATAATACACAACTTTAAGCAAAGATAACAATTATAGTTGTAAAATAAGTGCAGCACAGCGTACTTGAGTTAATGTATGTACAAATGTTTTAGCTAAATCCATACGTTAAACCAACTTGAAGTCCACCTTTGTTTATGCTATGACGACAGTGCAATTCATTGAATGGATTTTAAATTACAATACTTATAAAGTACTTCACGATTTTTGACACTAGAATTTATAATGTAAAAAAATCAGAAACTATATTCCTGCAACAATATCGACAGAATACAAAGGAGAAACATTTTGCAGTCAAATTACTCTATTTAACCTAACTAAATTTAGTAAATCCAATTGCTTTTCCATGGGTTTCAATTCGACTTAGGCCATATTAGGTTAGGTTAACTAACAAGACTACAAGATCACGGCACTCATCCTACACTCATATCCATTCATACTTGGCTTAAAATACAGACCAACCTTTTTATGGTCGCCATTTCAAAGAAAAAGTGTTCACAAGTATTACAAAGTTAGGATAGTAATTATTTCGATACACTGATTTCAAAACTTTAATTTATATTTGTAGTATGGTGAATCCTAAATTTAATGTAAGCTAGTGTACTGAGATATTTTTGAATGTGTTTCCAATGATCCTTGACTAATGTAAGGGGATGGAGCGACACGTGGCGCGCTCCGCCCTTCTATGTTGACAGCTGGGCGTACCTCCTCATCTCCTCACTCAGCCTGGGGGAGGATTCAGTCTAAGTAGTTGAGTAACGTGTTGCAATCTAATATAACACGTGCCGTTGTCAGCACGAGTAAGAAGGAGTTTATAGGTACTCAGAAGTTCGCTGGTTCAAGCAATCAAGCCTGAGAAAAGTCAGCTGTTTAATCGTTTAAAACTGTGTCCAGTTCTTGATTGTTGAGATTGCAATATAGTCCTTCCTACGAAACAGTGAACATTACCCCTATCACTTTGTAGCATCTATTCTCCATCCCACTCACTAACTCAATCACCAGAGGATATTGAGTCGAATAAATCGTGTGAGACTATTTAAAGAAGCGCCCGGCCAGTGTTGTAATTTATACGGGTTTTAGCTGGGTTAATGAATATTTTAGGCTAATCACCATGTTAATGAGACTGATAGTATCTACAACGCTGCTCTGGTCAGATGTTTACTGAGGTTGGTTTCGGTTAGTCTGCAAGTCGTTAGCGGGACTGTTAAAGATCTTCGGACAAAACAGAGTATTTCGTTGTGGGATTGGGAAAATTCATGTCACAAGACCAGAGGATAAAGCGACAAATCAAATGTTTAAGTGACGGAGATTAAACAATGTAAAGTGAATGGCACTCAGTGTGTTTAGTTACGCATCCAATACATTCTGCTTCCCACAGAATGACTTTATATAATTTTTTAACCATAGATGTTTATAAAACTATGTGAGGCTCAAATAATTACTTATTTCTGAACTATCGACTAACTCCAAACTATTGAAAATGCTCTAGCTAATGACAAAAACCAAACTATTGAACCCCCCCCCCCCCAAAAAAAAACTTTCAAAACTTCTGATCATCCCTCAAACTATTAAAAATGCCCAAGCTATTCACAAAACCCAAACTATTGAAAATGCTCATAATTGTGATAATCCTCAAACTATTGACAAAGCCCAAAGTGACAAATCTAAAACTATTGAAAATTCACCAACTGTCGTTAACCCCTTAAACTATTGAAAATCCTCAACATGTTGACAATTCCTAAACACAATCCTCAAACTTTGGCAACCTCCAAACTATTGTCAAACCTCACACCTTTGGCTAACTGTGAAACTATTGAAAAAACCTAGACAGTATTTGCAATTCCCAAACTATTGACAATCCTCAAAATATTAGCAACCCCCAAACTACACACCCTTAATCGTCCAAAAACCCAAACTCCCACAAAGCAGACCCAGTTGATCAGGTATATTTGTGGGAACGGAAGCCAGAGCGAATTAAGCATGCAAATTCCACCCCATAAACCTGGCACATAGTCTTGCGGTGTTACTGTTGCACCACGGGACATCTTGTCCCGCGTCGGTCCGGAGTTATGGCCAACACGGTCTAGAAATCACAACGACTGGGCAAGAAACAGCTGTTAATACAGTTGTATATCGGTATGCATTTTACTTTATAATCTCACGTTTCACACAGTTCCAGGATCATAGAAGGTGATCTAGATAGCTCAGTTGGGTTTGTTGGATTGGTCATATAGAGTTGTTTGATTGGTCGTGAGAAAAGTCAATAGCTTTTTATGGTTGAAAACGAACCTTGAAAATCTTTGAAATTGATCTTTGAATAAGTGATGGCCACAAGACCTTTGAAAACTATCATCTCATCTCATTTTCATTCATTCAACATTCTTCATCTTCGCAAATTTGTTTATACTACGTAACTAAGGAGAATTTTAAGCTAAATGTCAATAAAATGATGCGTGAGGTGCCTAATGTAGCTTGTTACAGACTAAGATCAGCTTTTTCTTTACCCAGGACCATTAAAAACAAAATGATACACGACAGTCGGGTCCAGTTTGACCCACCAAGCTTCTAGCTTTTCTCAGGATTAAACCGACGGTCTTCAGTCAGTTTGAGCGTTACAACCTTCAACTAACCAGCCAGCCAAGCTATTTATGATAGCACGTTCACCTAGATATCTTTTTTCTAGCAACCATTCAAGACAAACTTTATTAAAAGCAACTAGAAAGTTACCGGGTACACAATGAACTATATTTCATCACGGCGCATTACAAACGCTAAAAAAGCTCATGAGTTAAGTGGAAGTTGTTGTCATAATTGAGCCATCAATATGCATGTGGCAGCGTTTAATCTGGTACTAATTAATGGACCAATAATGTAGGGATTGAGTCATTATTGCGTCACGTAAAGGTGTACAACAAACAGCTGTGATGGCTGGTGACTCATCTTTCATGTCTGCTGTGGTCACGGTTGATGAA